TGTGTATTTGTTACTGCAGTTTTAAAAGACGTATAAAGCAGGGCCTATTCCTATTAATTAATTCCTGTTTCATTTTTTACAGCCTCCATCTCCCCTCAGAACATTGGCAAAAGAATTTATGCACACAAATCTTAAGATATTAAGGAAAACCATCACATTTCAGAATGCTTGAAATAATTGATTTTTTTAAGTGTTATTTATTCCTTGTATTCTCTCAGTCTCTCTCCTCCTTTCTCTCTTTTTTATGCTTATTTTAAAACCCTGGAAGATTTTTTGAAAAGATTATATTCCAACTGGAAACACTAAGTTCTAATGTTTATCTTAATGCAACATACCATACCCCGAAAATTTTTTTTTATTCTAGGATGACATTATCTATGGTTTACAAAACAATTATGATGATTGCTTGGAGGGCTTGGCTTAGGAGATCTAGCCTCGACACACATTATTTTTATGGAAAAATAAATTCATCTCAATTGGCTCTTAATGTCATCTGAAGAAGGGAATTATCTAAAATTAGCTGGAAGACAGAGAAATAATCTTACTTGAAATACAATGTATTTCATAAAGACATGAACTGGCTAACCTGACTTTTAGATAGTGCAAGTATTTTCACACATCTTATTACTTTCTGAAATATATTTCAGATGGGCTTTAGAAAGAACCTATAAATTCTTCTCATGCATTCAGTACCATGACCTAATATTCTCAAAATGTTTGTAGAAAACGAGCTACATTGTGCCGCTGACTTTTGTGGAGCTCTTTGGAGAGCTTTACAGTATCAATATAATGAATTAACTGAAATAACAGCTGTGCTAATTACAGGCAAGTTTAAAAAGCTGAGGTTTGTGTTTAGGTTTTCAAAATGCCAGTGGACTCAGTTAATTACCACACGCTGTCACGGTGAGAGCAGCCAGGTCATGCTATCAGGACCTTTGTTGTCCCACAGCAAAGAAAATAATGGAAGGCAAATACTCAGTACCTGAAATAAAGGCCATGGGCAGCAGATGCCAAATCCACCCCTTCTTCTCCTGCGTACCAGCCTGGTGCCAGAGGCAGGAGACTGTATGCAGAAAATCAAGCCCCAGGCATTTGGAGATGGTCTCTTTTTTTTGGATTAATTTTTAAGCAGTTTTTAAATTCCCTCTTGGAATGAAGGATTTTGCAACCTGTTTGTGTGATTTTAATCTTACTCAGTTCACTCCATTCAAATTAAGGAATATGAAAATGTCTTTCTAAAGAGAGTGCAGCCCCTGAAATGTCGCCATCAGCGATGACAGGGACACCCCCTGTTTGGAGGCACTCTGCCAATTTCCATTCCTGATCCTCCTCTCGCTTGTGGTGGAGCAAAGCTGGGTGAATGAAGTGAAGCCAGCAGAGCCATCCCAAAGTAAGACCTCCTTCAGACCAGAACCCAGTTGCAGTGAACTCACCAAAGTCAAGGATGCATATAGAAAACATAGCATTTTTCTTGGGGGAAGAAAAACCCAACAAGGAAAACAACAAACAAAATCCCTAAATTCCCATCATCAAAATCAGTGGGCAACAATGTAGTTTGAACACATTTTTCTTTTTCCTGATTTGTTTGTTTGTTTTCCTCAATGCTCGAAATTTACTATATTGCTTGTTTTTTCAGTTTCCTGAGAGGAAAATAAAATTTGTTATCAGTGCAATCCATTTACTTGAAATTCCACACCCAGGGAATTCAGACGGACACTCCGCCTTCATTTTGACACATCAGCTATGGCATACACAAATCACAAGCTTTAAATTTCCACAATCACATACTCCATTATCAGCCACACAGATAGCGGAGGCAAGCGCGAAATAAAACTGCTTTGTTCCACCCGGGAGCTCAATAATATCCCTTATAAATCAGGATTGGTTGTATGGTTTCTTGCACACATCCCACAGATTTGCTCTGCAAAAGGCGTTGACCATCCACACCACTTTCTTGCCTCTTTGCATCTGAAGAGTTATGCTGCTCTGGGGGGCAGAGAAAGGGGGTAGCAGAGGGGAAGAGAAGGAAAAATTTATGGGTTATGAATATTGACAGAGAAGATATTCTTTGTTTATTGAAGTCTTGTTGATATAAAAACCCCTCCTAGGCTACCCCCTAAGTCTAGAGGTCCTAAAGCAGTGTCAGTGAGCTGTCTGGGCATTTTTTCCCACGTATTGCGCCGCTATTCTGCCCACAATAGAGACCCATTAACGTTTGGCCCTTCAAGTTCGTGCAGCCCAAGCCCCAGTGGCAGGACGTCTGCCCAGTATGTAAAATAATGGAATGAATGGATTCCTTGGGAACAATGATAACAAGACCTGGCTGAGCTAACTGTGACAGCATGTGGTAATTTTCCAGCCCGCTGACCCTGTAAAGGGAGCTTGGAGCACAAAGCTGAGACTGTGGGGCAGGTTGGTCTGAATGGCTGCAAACAAGTGCAGAATATCTGATGATGTCATACGCACGATTTGACAGATGGGGCAGGATTTATTTCTGTTTGTTTTGTTTTGCTTTGCTTTGTTTTAAACTTGAACTTAACTCTTCATTTTTCCAACGTATTTACGCGTTGCAGGCGTAAAGCGGGAAGACAAGAAGCCACCACTGTTTTAAAAGCACGTCTTGGGAGCATTGTCATGTGTTGGTTTTAAGAAACAACCTTATTTCCTGGTGAAAAATGGTATTGCTTGTGCCGTGAATGCTCTGGGAATGGCAGGAGAAAGTTGCTGTAGAATGATGCATGGTCTCTGCATTCAGCCCTGGGACTGTGTTTTGAATCTAGCTCCCCCCTGAATCCTAATACACACTTTGAATAGCATAAAGAAGCATTGTTATTGCCTCAGTCTAGTCATTACATCAGAGAAACAGACAACCAGAGATATCTAAACGGGTTACTAATTTAGGTTTGGTGTCTGGGAATAAAAGTGGGTTAAAACAAGTTCGTTTGAGTATTACTGGACCTACGTGGTTTTGCTACAACTCTGAATAAGCTTTAGACTCTGTAAATGCACTTAAGTACAAACATATGCTAACACAGTTGCATACCTCAAGGAGCACGTTTGGAAGTTTACATAAATGTGGGCTGGGAAGAGATGATACAGCATAATTAGTTGTGAATCACCATCGGTATGGCTTCTTACAACTTTATAGCTGAGTGAACATTAAAAGACAGTTCCATTTCTGTGTTTGCAGATGAAATGATAATACAGGTATAGGACAGACTTCTGAAATTTTTACCACCTCTAAAAGCGGATTAGACTTTTTATATGCCCCCAGGGAAAGATCTTTCTCTCTCCCTTGCAGTGTTATTTATTTCATTGGCTGTGAGCTCTTTGAGGCAGCACCCGGAGCCCTGTGAAATAATGACAACAGGAAGAAAGTAGAGATACATAAGTGAAAAAGAAACATACATTGATTATGGTGAAATATTCTCCAAGCCTGACACAGTTAGCCAAAGTTAAGATGAACACAGACAGTATTTTTAGATGACTAAGCACAGCCTGAGTAAACAAACCAGAAGGCCAAGTTTTGAGGACTGCATTTTTCTACTTGCTTTCAGTACCGTTTTTTCAAGCAGAGAAAGAGTTGGGAGGGATAATTTTTATCACAGCGTGAAATTATCATTATCAATGATGTGTATGATGTGGCTGCCTTTTCAGCAGCTGAGGATTCAGTCCCTATCACATTAAACACTGTACAAACACACAGTAGCAGGCAGTCTCCAAACCAATGAGTTTTCAGTGTAATAGGCAAATTCAATGCAGACACGGGGAAAAGGTCTCTCTATACACCCCCTAAATCCCTCAAATCCACAGTACGATAGTTAGTGCCATGAATTTTTAGAATGGAGAAAAGGAGTTTGTCCATCTCTTACATAACCTGAATTGCAGATTGATTTAATTGCTAAGAAATGCCTTTCTGACTCTGTTTCGTTGCATTCTATTAGAAATGTAAGGAGCATGTTTGCAACTTTCAAACTTCAGTGACCTGAGACAAAATCAGAGTGAAATACATGGGTTGTCTCTAATGCCTGCTCTTAGGCTGTAAAAAGTATTTCCAAATCTCTGCAAGCTCTACTTTTTTATTACTCCTTGCTTTACGGGAAGTTTCCGAATCATAGGAGGTTTATCACCTTTGTTTAATACCTAAAATCAAGACCAGGAGGGATCTCTGCTGATCAGTGGACTAGAAAATTCTGACATAGAGAATTTCCTCTTCAGATTTTTTTTTTTTTAAATTTCATTTTTGGAACTAGTGAGGTCAGAGGAAAGCAGCCTGCATCCAAGATTCAGCAGCCTCATCCGTTTTGATGCAGGTGTCATCCATGCATCCTGGAGACTCCCAACGAGCCTTGAAACAAAATAAGAGGGCATGATTCATTGACAGGAATCCATCTTTTTCAGGTGAAGAGCTCCGGCATCTATTTGCAATGAAAAAGAGGCAACAAAACGGAACCCTGGTAACTGGATTACCCCTCTGGGAGCATGACAGTGACTTCAGGCTGCACCACCGCGCTGATAGGGACAAAACAGGGCACCTTGGCTTACGGGATGTGAAATATTACATCACGAAAACATTCACAATGGGGCAGAAAATGATTCATCAAATCAAAGTTGATAACTTTTTAATTAAAAAAACCACAATTTTTAATGCCTACATTTTTGAGCAAGTAAATGTATCAAGTGCTTAATTTTTAATTGGATTAATGAACTGCCTGCATCGTTATTATGAATTATGCCATCCTAACTAAATTTTTATGTTAATAATGAAGTAAAATATAACATAAGGTATGATTAAATACTGTAAATTATATCCATTTTATTATGACAAATAAATAAAGAGTTATTAAACAAAATATGAAGAATAAAGATAAATTTCAATGGTTTCAGCATGTTCCAGATGCATCTTTGTTTTAAAGGAGACACACTGAACCTCCCTTAGAGATAGGAAAGCTAGGTCCCGGCTTGTCTAAACTGATTTAATATGATGAGTCAATCACCTTTCTCCAGAAGGCAAGTATTGATTCCTGCAGACTCTCTGTTCCTCCTGCATGTATGTTACTACAGAGTCAGTCTGCAGCATTGTTCCATTTTTTTATAGGCACCTACTTTCCTTGTATTTCATACCTACATACTCAAGATTTTGCCTGTGTCTGTGTATAGGTATGTACTCTGTTTATGTCTCTTCTTTATATAGCCCTTCTTTAATTTCTGTGCTATGTGGCAGTGGTGGGGTCTTCGCAGGTCCATAATTTGCTTCCAGTACCCTCAGTGCTCATTTTTCAGCAGAGAAGGTAACTTTTAAGACATTTTTTTAGGAGTTCTGTGGATTCCCCCTCTTCACCTGCAACTCCTCCAAACTGCTGATTCTAAAGATCACAACAGACTATGGCTTGCTCCTTTGTCAAAACTCCCTCTGGCAGAAAGTCAGTGAGGGGGGAGATGCAGAAACAGAGATAGTGAGGGAGCTTAAGACATACACAACCTCTTTCCTTCAGAAATGCCTGAAGATTTTTTGACAATTTGAGATCGCATAAATATTGATGGAAAACAGAGTAAAAAGTCCATGTAGCCAGCAAGGCCATCACCTACAGCAAAGGAGTGGTCTCCCAAGGCCACTTGTACCCACAAATGCCAAATCTGCCACACTACAAAACGTTGGAGGAGGTGGAAACTTGAACAAATGGGCTTGAGTATTAAAACATGTGGACAATAAAGGACATGTGGACAATAAAGGACCTAGAGGGACAGTACAGTAGTAACTACCCGGGCAATGATCTGATAGTAAATATGCATTTTAGGCTGATGCCATTGTAGAATCTTAGTCAGAAAGAGATGTATCTTCATTTTACACTTGTGCCACTATACTAATATGAAAATTAGAAAAACATTCTTGATTTCTGTATAGCCTACGAGTCTTAAGGTTTTTACTTTTTTTCTGATAAGCAACATGGAATGAACACTACAGTAAACTACTGTTTTGCTCATTTGACAGAAGGAGTTTTGAGGAAGGAACATGAAGTGACGTGGAAGAATGTCAGGAGAAGAAGCACAGAGGGATCTTGTCTGCTTCCTGTGCTGGAGTAACCCATTCCACCCATGGCCAGGCTCTGTATTAACATTTTTCCTGAGCATCATTATGGAGCTTGCATGGTATTACTTCCTTATACTGCAAGATACAAGTGTAGACTCAGGAAACAATTTCATCCTCCCACATTTGCAACGCCGTGATTCTGACACTGCCAGCCAAGGTGTCTCAGACCCAGGTTTGAATACAATTGCATGTGGGATTTGGCTACAAAGAAAAATTTGAATTTGAGATCTCTTTCTGGTAGGATATATAGCCTATTAATTATTAGTAGACTCATGTTTACATAACACAGCTATGTTTTTAATGTAGAGTTATCAAAATCCAAGTTGAAATGATTACCTAATTTTCAGTCTGTAAAGGAGAAGAGAAAGGATATATGGCCTTGTTTATGCACAAAATTAGTTTTAAATCAATTAAACTGGTGAAAACCCCTATGTGAACGCATTTAAATTGGTTTACATCTGGCTTGTATTAATTTAACTTCATTCAGTTTTCACCAAATCAATGCAAATGTGTAATTAGCTTAATGGCTCTTGCTCTTCCAGAACAATAGTCTTTCATTCTCGACAACAGGGAGCTGTTTTCATTTCCTACAGACTCCAAAGGAGGCGTCGAGCTGCTTTTATACAATCGCTCTTACTATTTCACTATTCTTTCCTTTGACTATGTAAGGACTAATTCCATGCATTAAGTAGCCAAAAGTGACAGGCCACGAGGGCAGGTGCAAGGTAACCCAGAGAAAGAAGCTTTTCTGTGTTTTTATGGGCTTGTATAAAAGAATGCTCAGAGACAAATACAGACCAGGTCACCCACGCCAGCTTCTGGGTGTTTTTTGGGTGTTAATTTCTCCATCTAATCTCCAACATTTGTCACTTGTCAAACAATCCCGTGTTGCCCTTTCCCAGGCATTCATTCCCTTCATTAATTGATGTTGGGCTTAGCTTTTTCTCTTTTTTTTTTTTTTATTTTTCCCCCTGCCAATTAAAGTAAGCATTTCTTGCTTCAGAATAAAGTCATGACTCGTGGTTTTGTCTCGGCTGATAACAACCACTTCTCCCTTGAGATCCTTCCAGCAGAGCTGCGCGATGGTCGCTTTTTTGTCTTGTATTTGCTCCCCTAAACTGTTGGCATTCAGGAATGTGTTTATGCGGGGAAAAATCCTGAAAAGCACTATAGGCTTGATGGAAATTTCCAAGTGCCATCGGTGCCCGCTGAAGGCAGCAGCTGTGAATGTGGTCGGCAGCGGCACTGGGTGCTCCGAGCTTCACAGGGTACAGCCTTGGACTTTGCCAGGGGCTGCTAAAAATTAAAAAAAATATCTTTCACTTAAAAGTTACAGATTACACGTAATAAATCTCTGCTCTGAACTTCCCCAGACTTTTGTTTTTTATGTAACACACAGCTCCTTAGAGAAAGACAGGAACAATGCAGGAAATATGTTTTAGGACATTATTTATCTAATGGATTGGATGTCATGGGAAAAGGGGCTGAAGCCAGAGGGTTCATCCCCAGGCTTTGGGAACATCGCAGAATTAGAAAACCAACGAAGCAATTTTCAGCTTTACCAAATGCAGTCTTTATGTGAAATCCTTTTACATAAATCATCCTAAAGTTATTTTTAATGGCGATTCAATATAAACCTACTTTTCCAACCAGGCATATCTGTGGTATGAAATGCCAAAGAAAACCATGAAAGCTGCTTTTGTTAATTCACTCTGGAAATATAAATAACTGGGCTAGTAGTCAGTTGTCTTTGACATGGGAGAATTGCTGGAGAAATTAAGATGCCAAAGGATAATCTGAAATATTCAGTAAATTACATACTGCAAGCGCTGATGGAAACCACTCATCCATTGTTTGAAATGATTGGCAAATGAGTTAGCACTTTGTGGCCAATATTGGCCTTGCCCATCTTGGCTATAAGTTTCTGCAAATTAATGCCTTTTTCTGAAGTGCCTATTTTGTTGTAACCAGGAAAGTTCAAAACCAAAATCCTATTTCCACTGTCGAAAACACAAGTTTCAATTGGAAGTAGATACTGCATCAGGAAAACATTGAGCAATGTGTGATAGTACTTCTCTTATGCAATTTGATTATCTAAGCTTTTTTTTTAAATGTTTTTCTCCCGCATAGGTCCCCTATTTATCATCTCTGCCTTGGAGATCTATTAAATAACAAGCCGTAGCATACCTGAAAAAAAAGAGGGGAATAAACAAAGAGAACTTTAGCCAATTGATGGTGAGTAAGATCAATTAAAATTCCTCTAAATTCAAAGACTTGCATATATAAGTATGGTCTACATCTAATACTTGTTAAACAAGCATGTTTAATTATATATATTGCTTTTAAAAAAAATGTTTGTGTATTTTTAGCAAAAAAAAGTAATTGCAGATATAAGTGAATTCCAGTCTTAGTCAAAATGAAAAGCTGGAAGTTCTGTTATGAAATGGTGACTGGCTGGCTATCGTTAATTATCCTTTTCCAAGGCAGAACGTGCTGGGTGGCATAGGTGTTTGATATCACTGTATCACACTGCTGCGTGCCCAGAGGTGGAGAGACGTCATCAGTCCCACAAAGGTAGTGCATAGAATATACAGTAAATAAATTATTAACTTGCATATCAAATTTGTGTGTAAAACATAGCACGTGCCAATGTGCTACCTGATAGGTCTCTCAGGACCTTGTGTGCATATCGTTTAAGTAACACAAATGAAGCACGTTCATTTGCTGGTCCTGTTTCTGTTTAACTTGCTGTTTCACAGAGTAAATGCAGATATATAAAATAACTTACCCTGCTATCAAGGAAAGGGAGAAAAAAGACATTGTATTCTCTAAAACTACCTTACTTTTTGCATTTTATTTCCCATATTGTTCATTAAAGATGTCAGTCTTCAGGATGACCTATGTAAATCAACACAAATCTATTAAAATTTAAAAAAATTAAAATCTATTAAAAAGAGAGCTTTGAGCCAAGCAGGAGGCTGCTCTTACTCTCATAAGCTTTCGCTAGTGTGTTTTTTTGTCAGCTGCAAGATTTACAGTAGCCCACATTTGCCATTCTACGTTGAAGATCCAAAAGATAAATATATGAACAGTATTGCGAGTGTCTGATGGCCTTTCTGTATGTTCAATGTAAGCTCAGCATTGGTTTATCTTTTTCAGAATTGTATGATTATTTCCTGATATGTCTTACAATACTGGTGCCAGCAGCAGATAATGTGACTGGAGTGACAGCACTTAGAAATTTTATCCAAACCAGATTAAAAGCTGCAGTATTTCAGTATTTCAAACTTTCTTTCTCCTCTTTCATGATCAAATTTAAACTGGGTAATACTTACGCTTTCTTGTTGGTTGAGTGAAAAGTGACATCTTCTCCTTCAAAGAGAAAATGGCAAAAATAGATGGGAAAGCCCACTCATTTTGTAGGTATAAAAATCATTTTACTGGGGCCCTCAATCTTTAGAGAAGGTGTAATCGTCACAGATGGTCCACTTAAGGCTGTTAATGTATAAAGTCTTGCCTGCTGTGCATTACAAGCCTGTAATTTTCATCTTGGGGTTCCTATGACTCAACAGCTCAACTCAGCTCTTTCAGTTTATGACATCAGAGAAATCCTCAGTGAAATTATAACCTTGGGAATACCCTGCAGATACTCTTATTTCTACATACAGACTCAAACTGCTTATACATCACTGCAGAGCAAGTTAATAGTGAGCAATAAAACACTGTAATATTTATTTAATACATAAGCACCATTTTTTTTGGGTTACATAGTTCACAATAATATCAATAGCTGTTAAAAGCAGTGTTATCTTTTGTGCGTATTTTTTTCCAGCCAGCTGAGCTCTTTCAATAGAATAAAATTCATGGCCCAAGAAACTGAGCACACAGGTTTGGGCTAACACTGTATAGAGCCAACCCCTCAGTAATTTTCCATTGTGCCATGTCTACTACAAGGTAAGAAGTGGCAGGTCTTCGCCAACAGTACTCATGCATCTTGCCTGGCAGCTGCAAGCTTCACATCTGGTGTAGGACTTTTCAGTAGACCCTTGGACAGCACACGCCTCCTCCATCACCCTGATGCTCTTGCTGTGCTTGAAGCAGCAAGATGCCGAGGTACTTTTCAGCCAGGAAGCTAACACCAACTGAAGACCCTCTAGCCTGGCCAGCTATGGTCAACTTCTGTGCCTGTTTAATTTCTGGCCTTGTCTTGATCATAGAATCAAAGAATCATAGAATCAAGGAATCGTAGAATTGTTTAGGTTAGAAAATACCCTTAAAATCATCGAGTCCAACCGTCATCCTTTCCTTGCTTCCCAATTCTCCTTGCCCAATGTGTGCCACAGGCTTTCCCTCTTCCACTCTGATTCACTACTTGAAAGGCCAGAGCAGAGATGCTATTCGTTACTCGTCCTGCTCCTGTCTCCTTCCTCTCTGCTACAAGACCCTGAACCCACCTCAGACAGATTCTGAACATCATTTAGGTTGGAAAGGACCTTTAAGATCATTGTGTCCAAGAACAAGACAAATTGCAATTTGTGCCTACAGAAATTGCAGTTCTGTCTTTTGTGGTTTTGAACCACTTAGGAACCAACCTAGCATCTCATAAACCAAAGAATTATCCAGATTTTCATAAATCTGAGAATTTTTCATCAGTACTCACTAAGTAGTTCTGGAGAATAATTTTTTAGTATGTATGTGGATGATCTGCAACTTCTTTCTGAATACTTGACATTTATTCATCTGATTATATGACCAGGCACTCCTCGGTTGGATGATGAGGATCTTTAAAGCACAAAAATTGTTATTATAGGTGACCACCTCCCAGCACACACATTCTCTGCAAGGCACTTTCTGCATAATGCTGCACTTGATGATCTAAATTCCCAACAATTCGTGCATGTGTGATGTTCTGTGCGGGAGCGCATGGGTATAAAGAGCAGCATGAGACTTGCAAACCGTCATGCACAGTTGTCAGCTTTTATATTTTAAAAATAATCATAATATCTTTATGATTTGAGATTTCCTTAGAATGTTTAAAATTACCCATGTTTAATGCCCATTAAGGAATAAAGGAGAAAGAAGGAGTATGTGGTTGTTACAGCCTAGAATTGTAAAAGTTTGTTACAGTTTGGTCCCTTATTTTTATTTTCATGATAAATCAGCTCATTCTTTATTAATGCATAGTGTGATTATGAACTTTCCACCTGTCCCATCACTAACTGTCACATTGTAAATCGTAGGGTAGTGGGATGAATAAGAGGAGGCCACATGAGATCCCTTCCAGTACTCTAGTCCAGTCTCCTGCGTAGTGGTTACATAACATACAGAGTTCTGCAGAAATTTTCTTTAATTACACTGCTATTGAAATCTCATCAAAAGCCGCATCCATGTTATACAGTCTCATGTCTACAGTAACCTGCCAGAAATTCGTAGCTCTCACAAGTCAGAAATATCATGGTTTTCTTTCCAGACTGAGCATAACTCCCACTTATTGTAGTCATGGTGTACTCTTCAGGTCACACTAGGTTGTTCATCCCTGAAAACATCTGATGTATTGTCACTGATGGTCTTCAAAAGTTGCTATGTTTTACCCCAAAAATGTTAGAACTGACTCTATGGATAATATCAAAAAAACATATGAATGAGTAGTGAAGAAATTCTCCTTAATTTCATAGTGTTGCAAAACTGATTTGAATACAGTGAAAAAAAAAAATTTAATTGCTCTGTATAAAAAGGCAAACTATGGAGGGCTTTTTAATCACAGAAGTGGTTTTGTTTCTACTTTTGCTGTTCTGCTTCATGTTTGCATTGTCTACAAGAAGCAGAATACTGAAACCAGAACAACTTAATTTCACAGAAATCTAACTGCAGTGAAATCTACCAAGAAAACCCAACATCTAGGTGAGAGAGATTTAATGAATAAACTTTTAGCCTTTTGGGTGTTTCCTTGAATCACATCACCACATCTTCAGAGGGTTGCTTGTCACTTATTATCAGCACTTGACTTATTTTTGATTCATCTTACCTCTGCTTCTATTCCACTACCCTTTTTCAAGGTGTGGGAATCAGGCCTTTTGTGTTGTTTGATATTAAACAGATTTAAACTAGGTTTCTTCCACAATAATGCTTTATTTTTCCTTTACTATCTTTCGTTTATCTCATCAGGTTTGCATATATCAGGATTTTTTAACACTAGTGACTACAACGAAGGGTCATGTCAGTGTTTCCATTATCATTCATAAATCATTACTTTCAAGGTTAATATTTCAACAGTTGTAAACCTCATCTTGCTGAAGTGAAGTAGCCTTGATTTGAATCTATTCTTTTCCTTCTAAAATTGGATTTAACCCAATAAATCTTTTTTTTTTTTTTAATTAATGATAAAAGATGTATCAGTAGGCCACCTCCTCAGGAAGCTCTTGTCTGGAATCACCTCGATAACTTCACTGACCAAGAAAGGAAAGAGTTAGAAAGTTATCATTATTAGAACATTATTAGTGTTGATGTTGATAGCTGAAACTGGGCTCATGAAGAGAAGCAGAAAAATGTTGACACTACTCACGAGAGTCTGTCCACTTCAGTAGTACTTAGGTTTATTTTAGAATCCCTGATGAAGTTCCTCTCCTCTGCCTCACCTGGATTCAAGTCCCATGTCACTCATATCATCAGGTTGCCTGTGTTTTCCACTGGTCCCCTGCCTTTCCTCTCCTTCTTGTGCTCCCCACTCAGTCAACTGTTCTCCAAAGTCTGAACACCAATGCCTCTGGAATCTGTAGCTTAAAAAAAGCCACTGAAACCCCAAGTGGTGTCACTTTATCTCCAATGCTAGTGTGGAGGACATGTTCAGCTGCTTTTTCACAACTCTTCTTTCTTTCTTTCTCTTTTATCAGCTATTTTCTGCCAGAATCTTCTGCTATTTTCTGCCAGTGCTTCTGCCACCCTCTAGCAGGCAGCACACTTTCTGCAACACAAGAAGCACAGAAGTTCTATGTGACCTCCTCACAGTGGAACAGAGAGACAAGTGTGTCTAAAAATTAAACCACATAAAGATCTGCAATTTTAACACCCAGTCAAGACTTTTTCTTTCATAATTTTTCATCACAAAGACTTTGTAATTATTTTCTCCAGTCATTCTACTTCTCTTTCTCTTTGCTGTAGCAAGATGTGGAGTAGGAATCCCAAACAGCTCTCATCAATGCACCTCAAGAACCATTTTATGACCCTCATATAACACTTTAC